CATTCAACATGCCAGGAATGGCTGCCTTGTGGATTCATTTTGTAGGAGCCACGCATGTGGAAGCCTGTGTGCAGCAGTGGAAAAAATCTCACTAACCTATTTTTATCACTGCCAGCAAAGTCTGGCAACTGTCTAGATATTCTAGGTTCATTTAAAAGTGACTTTTGATAGGGTTCAAGGTCCTCAGTGCAGGCAGTTCAAGTTAGGTCGTTTCCTCAGAGCTGCCAACAGGCAGAAACTGAAGAGGCAGCTATTTTATAATCATCATAATTATACAGTGGCCATAGGTTGAAACCATCCTCTAAACATAGAAACACAACAAACCCAGCTTAGGCTGTGCTAAGTTAGTGCCTGAGCTCCTTAGTTGGAGCAGCAACTCTCACCCAGGGACAGCAGCCCCCGGCCCCCTTGGGGCTCACGGGGTGTCCCTCCTGGGCAGAGGCAGTGCCCGCAGGGACTTGTTTGCTCTGCTGCAAAGCACCTGGCTCCTCACACTGCTTCCACTGCTACGCAGCACACCCCTGTCCTCCCAGGGTGCTCAGACCATCGCCTGCCTCCATGTTATCAGCCTCTTGCCAGGCTGGCCACAAAAAAAACAACAACAAAAAAACCAGGATGAAAAAAGGTGCTGCAGTATTTAGAAAGAGCCCCTGCATTGCTTGTATCATTGCCTACAGCTGGAGGCTTGCTAGGCAGCTGTCTCTGCAGAGGCTTGCAAGCACCTGCATTCAGAGCTTGTAAGAAAACAGGGCAGGGCTCAGCTTGAACTTCACAGCACATCCCCCATGGAAACTGCATCAGACTTACATTTATCACTGGGGTTTTAGTCCCCACCACTTTTTTTTCCTCCTCCCCCAGAGCAATTGCTCTGAGCCCATCTCCTGCAAAGTTTGCTTGGACTCATAGATTCATCTGAAAAACAAGAATAGTGGAGATGTATAGGCAGTTCCTAAAAGCTGTCTGCAAACATCTCATATTCTTTCCTCCTGAAGGGTGGAGGGGGTGAAGTATAGTCCTGACTGGGAGAGCCTGTCAAAATAAATTCAAGCTTTTCAGTCTAGTGGAGCAATTCTTTTAGGAGCTCTTTTCAAAGTCACCCTGCAGGTAACTACATCCTCCCCTTCTGCAAATACACCCTTTAGGAGTAAGCCTATTAATTGCCAAAACATAGTTAGAATGTGGTATGATGGATTTAAATTTTTAAAGTGTCTGAGAGGACAGGATTTATTCCCACCCCAAACATGTTAGGCTCACACCTTTCTTTCCATTGTTGCCAGCTTCTTCCCACATCCCACACCGTTTCCACATTTCATGGACCTGCTGTCATTTTTTCCTTGTACTCAATTATGGTGCTGGTGTGCTAGGATTCCTATAAAATGACAGTGTGCTGTACCACAGAAGACTTTCCCAACTCCACTGTAAAGGAGGAAGCTATTTTCCAACAATAAACTGTCCCTGTGGAAAACCAGGCTCTCCCTGCCTTGGTGCACCTTCTTCTGACATTGCTGACCATGCAGCTAGCTTGAGACTCTCCCCATTCCTGAGGCAGGCTAGCTCTGGTTTTCTAAAGTAAGTCTAAAAACCTTTCTTCTGGCATAATTACCTCATAGATCACCAAATCCAGCCTTCGTCAGGACTTCGTAAAGTCCTTGCCCCTTAGTCAAACATTTATTTTCTTAAGCTTGCAACACCAGATACACTGTTTCCTGGTGCAAATTCCCATATTCTGCATACGCTTTATTTTTTTCCCCACTGTCCTTGGCTAGCTTACAACATATAAATAGCCATATCCTTTAGCAGTGTGGCTTTACCTTCCCTTGTTTTCCTCACAGCAGCAAAGGGGCACAGCTGACAGCAGTCTCAGAGAAATACAGGGCAGAGCCCACCAATGCTTCCCCATCTACACAAGCCAAAACCCAGCAGCAACCTGTGCTCTGCCACTTTGCCACATGCATTTCAACAGCTCATGCAAATTTTGCCATTTAACAGTGTTCCAGGTGGTGTTTTATGTTAGTGCCTAACATAGGACTTACTCCCATTACCAGTTATCATCTTTTCTACTATCCCAATCCAAGCAAGTGTCTAGACCGCAGCTCTTTGCTATCCACGAGCAATTCCCATAGATGTACAATATATAGCATCACATTTGGCCACAAAACATAGTTACATTAAGCAAATTTAGTGCAAAGGATTAGCAGCACCTGTGTTGAATGAAAAAAATGTGCTTCTGTCTGGAAATAAAGCTGCTTAAGCCTTTTTCCTTTCTGGAGTGGTTTCTCAACATTCCAGGCAGGCTTTAAGGCCTTAACATAGTTACACCTTTCTGTTTACTGACAGGGAAGCTAGGATGGCATAGAAAAGACAAAGAAGTATTTTACTTCTGTATGTTTTCCTTCACCCTATCTATTCCTCCCAATAGACATGACATCCCACTTCTAGGATAATTTTTTCCAAGCATCACTACTTGCTTCTCTGCTGACCCTCCGAATCAGGACAGACCTCTTCCTAACAGGGATCCTTGCCACATCCTGACTCACTTCACCCTCCCTCCCTTCACAAGCATTACACCAGTGTTAGTCACTTCTGCCACAGCACATGCACGGAAAGAAAAAACCTCACTCTGACATTATCCCAAACACAGCGTTTCCCCTTCAGTATTGTAATTTCCCCGTTCCTGCTTCCCAGAAAATCTATTATCCCTTTTGTTCACCTGAGCCTCTAGTATTACTTCAAGCCACGTTCTACTCCAGCTTCCTCAAGACAATCCTGACTTAACTTGAAGATGGGAACTTGCTCCCTGCTTGGGCAGTCAGTGCTACAAACAGATTTTTAGGGCTGCCATCTCAGAACTGAAGTCTTCAGGAAATTTGGTCACCACTGCTACTTGTAAAGTAAAACTTCTCATCATTCAGCTCATCAGTACTCATTACTGAGAAGTATTCATTCCAGGCTAGCTTGCAGATCTTAGGATGACTGCAGCCAGGTTTTGCAGTTGTAGTTCATGTTCCTGCTAAAAGGAAAGTAATACTCAAGCAATAAACAGTAGCTCTTTCTTCTCTGATAAACAAAGACTTACCCATCTGTTGATTACTCAGAAAGCACCAACATATACACATAGGATGCTCAAAAAGAAGGGCCAAAAATTGGGCTGTAGGACTTAAAAAAATATGGGGGAAAGGGGGCAGGCATCACAGAGGCATGAAGTGTTGCAGTAAACACTGTGATTAAGGCAGCAGCATTGCAAGGTAAAGACTAACTCACAGGAAGCCTCCATCCAGCTTCTGTAGAAGGCAACAGTGGAAGGTATAAACTTAAGTTTTCTGCATATTCACTTGACCTGGATGCCAGTTTGAGAGCTTCCTCCGTAGTCATCACCCAAACCCATCTCGCGAGCTGAGGTGCTGAGCCTACAGCTTAGTTCTCGTCACCCTAGTTACAACCCACTGCATTTTCTTGGATGTTGACAAACACTGCTAGTATTGGACTACAGCCATGTTTGATGTTGGCACTCTGAACACATGCACCAGCATGGGGCAATAAAACCAAGGGCAGTTGAAGTCAGCAGCAAGCCGTCATTATGGTTGACAGCAATTCACCCCAGCTCTTTCAGGTGCCAGGTTCAGTCTCATGCCCTGAATTGCATAGCTGACAAAAGTGCTACTTCTCAGTTCTGCAAGAGCTCAGGGACATGGTAGGTCTCAAATTTCCTTAGGAGATTAGATTTTTCCCTCCAGGCTCTCTCATATAACCAAGAAGGAAAATTAGATCAACTCCTTTCTGGAGTCATTCCAGTCTAAGACACACAAAAGCATGATTACCATTTGTCTTTTTTGAAATCCAGACTTTTTTTTAAGAAGGCCCCATTAACACAGAATAGTGCAACACATTACAAAGGAGAGCTGTATGGTTTGCATAACCCCTTCGACAAGTCACAATGTGTAACACAAAGGTGGGCAGTACATTCATGCTACAGTCCAGAGCTACAGCCAGAGCCTGACCCTCAACAATTCTGGTATTTCTTATAATAAATACCAACCTCCTTACAAGAGAAAGGTGGGAACAAGTAAGGACTACTAAGAGACATTTGTAGTACCTAGAGGACAAAGACCAGGAGCTCCTAGGAACACAGCTGAGATACTACAGTAGGGGAACACCAGATACAGGCACAGGCACAATCAACTTGCTGGTAAAGATCCAAGTCCATAGGCAGCCCCACCAGAAGGTACTTTAGAGAAAAAAACCACTTAAAAAGCCATTTAGAGTAGAAGTGCAGGACAAATTAGTAATTCTTTAGGCTAAGGGTTCCACCCTGCTCCCTCCCATATTCATTTTTGAACTGAAACAGGATAGCCGCAGCTCTAGCTGCTGCTGCAAGCAGAAACTGCAGAGCTGTACAGTAACTTCTCATGCAACTTTGTTTTTTTCCACTTGGAAACCTGAGATTTGGCACACATGCCGTAAGCCCTTGAGATTATACTTCACTGGCTTTGGAGAAACAAAGCCAGCCACTGAGCGTACACTATGGGAATCTGCCTTGTCAGGGGACCGAGGCCATGTCAGATGCCAGGGGACAGAGTTATGCCAGCAGACAGGCTGATACAAGAAAGCCCAGCTGGCTCCAGGGTAGAGCCCAGCCTGTTTGAATCCAAGTACCACTGCCGGCATATCACCAGTATGACAGTCATTCTTTGCCACCCTGTATGAAGATGATAGTAAGTGTTACAGCAGTAACATTTTAGGAATATAATTAAGAACTGCTTTTGTTCACACACACCAAGGAAAGGAGGAATGATGATACCTTCCCTAACATGCTCTGACAGTTGTCTTTTCCATTCCTTGGAATTTCCTTCAAATACAGCATTGGCATAGGAGTTTTCCTGCTTTACACTAAAGCCCTAGTGATTTACCACTTAACATGTTATTCGAGTTCAACTCCATGCTATGCAAACAGTATGATTAATAAGCATAGTAAAATCTCCTCTCCCCTACAAACATACAATACATCTTACTCTTTATTAAGTATCAAATCGTCTCCAACATAAATTACATCCAAATTACATAAGTTTCAAGAAAGTCAGATATTTTATGTACAATATTTGTCTTGAGTCAGATATACCTTTATCATTTTAACCTATAACATAAAAAGCAAACCTACATCAGTACCAAATAAAGCATTAAAAAGGTAACAAATATATAACTTTTTAGAAATGCTTTCAGAAGGCTAAAGTTAATGACAAAGACTTTATAGTGCAGCAGTCTTGGGTTTTTAGCTCTTAGACCATTTCTCTGTTTCTGCGGATAGCACAGCAGAGAACCATACTGAATATCATGCCGAAAATCTGTAAAGAAAGCAAACACATTAGAAATCAGGGGACCAAAGCACGTTCTTCTGTCAACATGGGGACAAGCATAGCTGCTCTTCCAGGCCCAGAGCCAGGAACTTTATTCTGCATTTCATGTCCCTGCCCCTCCCTTCCCCTCCACCCCCAAATTTCAGTCTGTTCTCATGAATCCCCTTCACCCTCAGTACTTCAAAATAGATCATCTATAAACCACTGCCATACCTCCTAACAAATCTTTGATCATGCCAGTATATTTGCATCCGTGACATACTTTCCTCCAGAGAAGTCAAACAAAAAAGTGCAAATTTTCTTACTAGCACTGTTATTTCAGTTCTCTAGCAGAGTCTTTAATTGTTATAAAGGAAACAAAAGCAAGGCTCCCCAAGAGATACTAAGATTAAGAAGTGGGCTGGCAACATGACCAATACATCTTCACCCTATATATACACGCACTACCGATACAACTTCACCACTGCTAAAACTACAAGGCGGCAGATCCTAATCCAAAGCAGAAGCAGGGAGGTCCAAGACACCCCACCCTCTGCGCTGCCTTGGGGCCCCGCAGCACGCACCCTGATCCTGCCGGTACTTGTCATTAGTGGAATGGGCTCGTAGACTGCCATGCCAGGCACTATTCACAGACTTCTGCTGTAACTATCCTTCGGCCATACAGCTACCCTCTAAATCTGGAAACTCACCATTATTACAGCAATGCCAAGGCCAACCGCTCCAATCACATTCAATTTAGAATTGAAGACATCATCGATGGCAGCAGGGCACGACTGAAAAGAAACAGACTGTTCATTAGTGCTTCATACATACAAAAGGTTTGTTTCTGCTTGCTTGTTTGAACTCAAGTCTGCCGATTGATGCTACACCTTTGACCAAGTCTGCTTGCACTAGAGATGCAGACTCATCTTTTGAAAGCTGCTTTGAACTGGCCTTTATTTTCACATCTTTAAAGAGAGCCAGGGATGTTCCAACACAAAAGTTGATGGAGGAGTTAAAATCTACTCTTCAAGTATCTAAACCTCTTAACTGCACCCTGGCTACAGCAGGGCTCCCTTCTCAACACCTACAGTTGATCAGATAGATCAGGACCAACAGCAGTTGTACCAGACTTGGCTTGTTACTAATGGCTGTCAGCATTTAAGTTGCTGCATTACTCAGCCCTTCTTAAAATAGCTTTGAAGCCACTCTTGATGTTTCCAATAGCTATTGTAATTTTGCAGACACCTTTTGAACACACGGTGCATGGGAATGACAGATTCCTTGAGCTGCATGCATACATGCTAGGCTATGGGTAGATTCATATAGGTGCCAGTCTGAAGCTCCCAGGACAATGAATTACCATTGCAACTAAAGAAAAACTTCAGTACAGTCTTTTCCCCAGCAAAGACACATGGTAGCCAAGAAAAAGAATAAGGAACTTTTACAGAGGTATAAATCTTTAAGAGTCTGGTAGCTGGTCAAAGTCTCATCCCAACTCCTTATCCTACTTACTCCAGCGGCAGACTGAAAACTAGTTTTTTCTTTAGTTGTTCCTTATACAGTCCCGAATGAAAGACTGAATCAAGGATTAAAGGGATACACTGGCAAGAATTAATCAGTTAAATCAGAATATCAATACAGCACTGCTTCTTAGAGGCACACAGATCAGCCACACCATTACATCCCTTTAATCTTGCAGTCTATCTACTGTTCTTCTACAGTTGGGACTAGGCCATAAACACATCACAAGATGAAGTCAAGAGATGAAGCCAAAACACTCCTAGAATAAAAGCAAACAATAAAACCTGCGTGCTGTCTCAGCTACTCCCATATAGTCTAACTCATACTAGATTGTACAGACAGGACTAAAGATACAGTCTAAATACAGATTGAAGTGTCTCATATGGTCAGATATTTGAAGGCACAAAATCATCTGTAGTGAAAGGAAGAGTACAAGTAATGTGAAAAAAAATATCAAGTCATTAATTGAATTCCTGCATCGCAAGAACCTTATTTTCTATGGGAAGACTCATACAGGCTGTCTTGGAGCATGGAGCAAGAGCACAAGACAGTTGTAAGAAAAAGAGGAAAAGGGGTAGTTAAGAACTATACAAGATGCCTCTCCTGTATCTGTGGCACACACGCACCTTTGCAGCAGCATTTCAGTAAGGGAATCTGCTTCAGAGAACTGGCTTCACAGTGACATATTCGCCTAAACAGGCCACCAACGCATTACCCCCCCTCTCCTTTTCCTTCCTAAAACTTCAGACCTGCTCCCACCCCCTGCACTACTTCTCCCTAACCAGGAGGGGAGGCGACGGCTCCCAGGCAGCACCAGGAAGGTGCTCTGGCGAGAGGAGGAGCCAGGAGAACAGACCTCTCTAGCTTTTTTTTTGGGGGGTGAAGTTTTGGCCTTACGCTGTCCATCATGCCAGTGAGCCTAGTGACACACAGACCGCATGTTTCTTGCTGACCCTGCTTGTTCTTTCCACAGCAACAGTATTTGATTTTCCACAACCGGACTGATTATAAAGATCGGTTGCTAAGTAAGCGTGACGTGGGAATTTCCCATGGACTGGAAGGGTTTATTCAGAAACGCGTTTCTCATTCTACTCATGGGGCAGAGATGAATTGGTTGGTGAATTAAGTCATGCTTTACCACTGTAGTAACCGACTCGAGCATGGTCTTCTTCGGACAGGTGTCCATGAACTGCTGCTCAAGAACTCCTCTAATACCACAGCAGTCTAGCTACAAGAGAAAACAGGAAAAGAGAACCAGGTTAAATAATCCTTATTTTTGCTCTGTATTTGGTAAAAAGGAGAAATAGATTACATTAGCTTTTATTACAGACCTTATGCAAATTTGCTTAGAAATCCTGCCAATGTGACCGCTATAAACCTAATTTTAAAAAGCCTTTATTGCATTAAAGGACAAGATTCTGAAAGGAAGAGCTAGATCTCATTAAGTATACACACACTAATTTTGGTGACAGCTTGTAGTCCTTACAGACACAAAGATGAACTCCTCATAGACATGCAGGTATGGTGCGTACTATGGTGCCTCTAGGTCGATACCACAGATCTAGAGTTTCCCAGCTTGCCTATGAGTTTGTTTAGGAAAACAAGAACTAGTTCTATGCATTTCAGAGGTTCAGAAGGACAAAAAGGCATACTGAATTCACTGATACTACACAAATGATCTCCTCCACAATTTGTTACTAATACTCCTTTGGTTTCTTCTAGTTAGTAAGGTACTAGGCTTGTACAGGGGACTAGACTTGTACATGGAGAACAGTGTGAACAAGCTGCATTACTGTCTAGTTTAAGTATAACCATGTACTTACAGCTAACTGAAATGCTTTCAGGGTCTCTCTGGCAGGTGCTTGAGATCTCTTTTCATAGGTTTCCATGTAGAATTCCTTTAACTCTTCAATAACCTACAGGACAGCAAAGAGTTGTGGTGTATTAGTGTCTTACCTTAATATTAATTATGGAAAAGAGTAAGTCACAGTCATTAAAAATTCTGCACCCTACAATACCCATCCTTTTAACATGTAGAAATAGAGGGTGGACAGCATTTCTCACCTGGAACAGGTGAGCCTAACTGGTACACTCACCTTAAAAGCCACACCTGAACAGATAAGATTCAGTTTCCCTTCCAAAGCTCTGAGCTTCTAGGAGGAGTGAGAGGACCAAGTCTCTGCCCACTGGTTACACAAAAATATTCCCTATTCATTTCTGTACCCCAGAAGTTGCTATATTCCCCTGTTGTATAACACAAGCAGAAAAGCAACCCTGATCAGCAAGCACTTATTTTGAAACAAGACAGAATCTTGACAGCTTGTGAAGGGACAGCCCAGATCAGTCGTGTTTTAGATGCAGAAACATTCAGCCCATAGCTGACCCAGCTCATATCTAGAAATGGTAAAGCTTCACTGATGGCTTGCTTCGCTTCACAGCTCAGCCAGGTACTGCCCTGGAGGGCATCTCTAGCATGCAACAGCAACTTGGATTCTGGCTTCTCTGCTACAGTCTCATTTTTAAATACTGGAGTTTAATTTCTTGAATTGTTCTGCTAGAACGCATCTTCTTCCTCTCCCGCAAATTCCCTGGGTAATGAGGATTTGACTAGTAGTGGTATAGATTCCAGGAGACTGCTAACTTTCTGTAGCACAGTCATAGAATCACAGAATGGTTTGGGCTGGAAGGGACCTTCAAAGATCATCTAGTCGAACCCCCCCTGCCATGGGCAGGGACATCTTTCACTAGATCAGGTTGCTCAAAGCCCCGTCCAACCTGACTTTGAACACTTCCAATGATGGGGCATCCACAACTTCTCTGGACAATGTGTTCAAGCAACCCACCACCCTGCCAACTTTTAAGAGTAACCTACCTTTTCTTTATTTGCAAATCCCCAGATCGCAGCAGCAATTTCAAGGGCAAAAATCACGAAAAGGAAGAGGAAGAACTAGAAAAGAAAGACCACATCATTAATTAAGACCACAGCACCACAAGCCAGCATCACACGTATATACTGCAAGCTTGTCCAGTCCCCAGCGTCCAGCCTTGTGGGAACCATCACTCAACCAGGTTCCAGCTGGAGGTCTGAAACACTGGTAAGACTAGGAAAGAGGACACAGTGCCCTGGGTCAGCACTTCTTCCCAGGAGCGTCAGAGAGCCTGGCAGTGTTTTCCAAGCAGAAGTCCTTCTTTTTGATCAGTGTTAATTAAAACCAATCATCTGTTAACTCAGACTTTGAAGTTGCTCAGGTCTGTCAGACACATCACAACAGCTGACACCAATTCTTTTCTCTGGTTTGTCACTCCTATTGCTTTAGGAGTCATTACTTAATACCTAGCTTGCCACCAACTCCTACAGAGCTAATGGTCACTACTTTGTTGTGTATCCCATTAAATAGAAATAAAAGTGTCATCCCTGTTTAACTGACTGCCAGGTCTGAAACACCACTACCACTTAAAGGCACTTTAAAGAGAGATGGTCAGAATTACAACAAAGGGCTAGAGGCATCATGTTGCAAGAAATACACAAAATTAACTTCTTCCATGACACAGAAGGGGAATTGTTCTTTCACCGGCTATAGTAGTAGTCTTTTATTAACCAAATCTTCTGGTTATTTGGATGAGTAGTTCCACAAGTGTACAGATGTGCATGAACCCAGTAAGCTCTACTGGCCCTTCCAGTCTGAAAACAATGAGATTGCTCTCCAGTAATTAGCTTGCAGAGCAGTTGTCAACTAGAAGAGCTCATCCTGTGATTACGAACATAGAGGCTTGTTGTTTCAAGGATCAAATACCACAGTTCTGGTCTCAAAGATTAAAGATTGCACAGCCTTCAGAGTTCGGGACAAACTGTTTAATAAATAGCATTACTCTTATCAACATTTTAGTTGTGTTCACACATACTCCCAGTCTTGATACTTCAGTGTCTGAACATGCCACTAACTCCTGAAGTCATCCTGTATTCAGATACAACATGGACATTTGGATTTAGGGCCAGAAATAGAAACTATATTTAACGTTTTAGCATTATGTAGGTGACCATGATTTTAAATGTTGTGGAGCCAAAACAATCACCATCTGCTGCCCTTTAACTGCACAGTAATATTTTCCTTCCTTTCTCATCATGCTGCTAAAAATTTAACCACTACTCTGAACACTTACCAGGCCAAGCATACATTGAGATTCCTGCAATGCACCACAGCATCCCAAGAAACCAACCAGCATCATAAGTGCACCAGCTCCAATAAGGATGTAAACTCCTAGGGAGGAGAAAAACAGAGACATGTATACAGGCTAGTCGAGACCTCAGCAGTAAAGTATAAAACTAGTTGCTCCACAAATAGCATTTGTAGCTTTTGCCAAGGTTTAAGTTCCTTTACTGAGGTGTTCCAAGCAAAAAAAGGGCCGTGCTTAATTTTCAAAGCAAACACATCTCAAAACTTGTGGGGGAGTGTATTGAAAAATAAAAACTTCAACTTGTAACAATTAGTATGTACCATTACTGCAGTTTCACAAGTTTTAGGAAGTGTGCAAGATAAAGCCTCTAAGACAAACTGTAAGACACATTTTAAAACTGGCTCAGAGCCCGAGTCATCAACTTATCTTCAGATGAAGAGAGTGCTGCAGTTAGAGGCAGCTGGAACTAGTCATTTATCAACATCTGAGAATTCTTGAAGCATGCTACCTCTAGGAGAATGGGTATTAAAAGGGATCATAATCACCTGTCACAAGGCTTCAAATGCTCTCCTACCCTGCTCTTCCATCAGGAAACACTAATTACTCCACCAGTCATGGTGGTACAAGTCTACAGTTCAGCTGCCTAACTTGACAGCTTCTCTAACTACAAGAAACTCAGCATTTTCTGCTTTTGCAAAAGCAGATACTTCTTCAAAACACATCAAGCAGCTGAGCCTGTAGACCATTCTGCCCAGAATTTAGGTAGCGAGTGTGTTGGAGCACAGAGGGCAAACATTTTGGGCTAAAAGACTCCATTTATGTCCAACCCTCTCCTCCTAAGCTTGGGAAGGAACTGCCATCTTAAGCATTACAGCTGCTAGCTGGTGAGAGCAGCAAGATACAGTGAGCAAAACATCTCCCAAAGGATGGCAAGAAAGTATTATTATGGTGGTGAAACATGAGACAAGAATCAGCACAAAGCATGTAGAATTAGTATGACATTTCTATCAATAGACAAAAATACAGTTCTGGCCTTCAGAGACCCAATCAATACTATTTAAAGAAAGCCATACATAAGCATCTGCAAATGATATTTTCTAGATGCAAACTGATAATATTAGCTGCCAAAATAAACATCCACTTGATTAAGCATATGTAAGTGATTAAGCCTGATATTTCTTATCAGCA